ATACCAAGATGGACTCATCAGCTCTTTGGCCTTCTTTGCACAAAGCTGGTGCCTTTTCATGTGTTTTAGACTGCTCCCTTGGTGCCCTTGTGCTTGCTTAGTATCTCAGATCAGCTTGAAAAGAATAATTAAAAAAAAAACCAAACAACCAAATTCTTCATTTCCAGCCAGAGCATCAAAGTAATTTCACAAAACTCTCAGTTTTGCTCAGGGTCAGTAGTAAAAATGGTGAGGAGGGATGAGGAGGCCATAAGATGGAAAGGTGAAAGAGCTCTGCCTGAGCGGTGGTCTCCTGGAACATTTCCACTTCAAGAGGTAAAACTTGCTCTTGCAATGCATCATCCGTGCTCAGCACACAATAATAATTGCCATGAGCACACCTCAGTACTGTGAGCACTCCCAGCCATGCTGCCATAGACATACTCATACAAGAGGAGGCCTCAGTGTGCAAAACTGCATCCCATGCAGTCAACCTTCCCTCAGCCAGGCTCCCCTTCCATGCATGTCGTAAAGAGCCCTGTCTTTCAACAGCAACCTTCAGTGCAGCCCACATTCAGGCCACATATCTCATCAGCTGGTGTCTCCCAGTGGAGGGCTGCCATTTTGCAGCCCTGCCAGGCCAATATAAAGCAAGCAGCTGTTGGAGGTCTGTACAGACAAAAATCCCCAGCTGCAGCTGTCTGTTCCAATGAACGTTTAGGGACGGAGGGAATGCAATATGAGAAACACATGCTTAGAGAGGATGGATTCAAAAAGGGTGGTGTGGAAAGGGATTAGGGGAGGCTATCCCCCCGTCTGCCAGCACGGTGCCATGCTGAGCTATGCCTGTGCCACAGATGGCCTAAGCTGGGTGCTTTATGAATAGAATATTAAATAAATTCTGTGGAAAATGGTTTTATTATAAATATGCTAATGTTTCTGGGTAAAAAAATCGGGGTCTTAGCGTTCAGTTGGGCCTCATGAACATGGGGACCTGGGAGATGTGAGGAGGATGGGTGGAAGCTCTCTTTTTCACCTTCTCCTCAATCCTAAGGCTACCGAGCCTTAGGTATAATTTAGAAAGGCTTTTCTAAGCTGTGTGCTGACTCCATCTCTAACGGGTGCTCCCTAGTCAAGCTGCCCAGGAACAGGTAACCCAGGGAAGTGGTGGAGTACTCAAGAAAAGGATAGATATATCACTGAGGGAACACAGGGATGTGGTTTAGTGGACATGGTGGTGGTACTTGATGTTGGACTAGATGATCTTAGAGGGCTTTCCAACCTTAATGATACTATGATTCTATGAACCAGAGAACTGTTGTTTTTGCTTGCCCCACCATTTGCCTGGGCAACAGAAGATGGTGGGAAAAACTGGCTGTGGAGGGCTTAGCGCAGAGCTGGAGCCTGTTCCAGGATGCCTCATCTCTGGAGAAAAGCTTCAGCAACTCCCTTCAGTTATCGTGCTGAGGGATGGAAGGAACAGAGTTTTGTTTATCACCAGCAGTTGACTCAGAATGGGGGATCCAAGTGTCTGAGTGTGGACATCTGTGGGGTCTGTGCCTGAATCCGAGCCAGCTGTCTGGGGCTCTCCATGAAGTCAGCAGAGATAAACAGACTGTAAGGATCTGATTCATCCCGTGGTGCAGTGGGAGCCTGACTCAGGGCAGAGGAACTGCTTCTGTTGCACAGTAGGGGAATGACTCCCACACTGTGACCGTCTCAGTGAGAACATAAAGTTTGAGCAGTCTTTGGGGTTTTTGTTAGTTTTCTTCTACAGGATCAGCACACTGGGTTTGTGACAAACCTAGGCACCTTTTTGAAGTCATTCATACAGAGGTGTGGATATGCTCAGAGGGATGGCTGGGCAAAGACTGTGGCAAGAGACAGCTGTCCATATTCAACTCTTCCCCTTATGTGCTGGGAAGCCTACACACCATTATTTGCAGTGCTAGGATGTTTTCTATGAAGTTGCTTTTGTTTCCATATGCAGCTGGCTGGGGGATGCTACATCATTCCAAAGTCACTCAGTACATGGGATGTCACAGCAGACAGATCCCAGCCTTCACAGCTGTGGCTATGGCGTTTGGCCATACTTGAGACATGGTTTGGAGACTCTGTGGTGCTTCAGCTTAATGGAGCCAGCAGATTGGACTACAGAGAGCTGGACAGACTAGGGAATGGGAACCTGAAGAAGTAGATGCTGTGGCTGTCTGGGTCTTGAATCCACTGGAGAAATTCTGGGGGAGCTAAGGATGCTGGTGTGAGCTCCATGTAGTGCTGTGGTTGCAGGAACTAGGCAAACTGAGATGTGACAGAGATGGAGTAGGAAGGCGAGAATTACATGAGACTGTGATACCAGCTGTGCTGAAGGCATTAGGGGGATTCTCAGAAAATAAAAAAATCTAGACATGAGTTCTGATGGGAAAAATTTTGGCTATGTCCCAAATAAGAGATGATGGTCAAAGTAAGTACAAGATCATGATTCCGTCCTGAGGGTCATCAGCTCAGTTTGGACACTTGTATCTGGAAGTGTTCAAGATCTGCTCCTGGAGGTGTTCAAGGACAGGCTGGGTGAGCTGATCTGGTGCTTGATCTAGCAGTCAGCAATGGTGGAAAGAAAATACTGATATTCTTGTCAGATCTATACAAAGTTCTGATCTTGGTCCTGATTTCTTGTTTAGGAATACCAAGTGCTTTGACAACTTCCCCTTCTTCCAAGCCAACTTCCCTGTCATGGGGACCTCACCCAAAGAAGGGCTTTTGGTGCAATGCACAAATGGAGGCCAGTACAACTTCGACAGCACTTTCCATCCTGCTCCAGGGGAAGCCAAGTTGAAAGGCAATACTTGGAGATGGGCAGGGCAGAGATGATGCTGTGCATCCGAGCAGTGAGACCCTTGGGAGAAAAGCTGTTATGAACCATCAAAGCATGTTAGAGAAAGTATAAGGGGATAAGGCAGGTGTGTGTAGGCTGAAGTGGAAAGGCTGGTGTGATAGATTTATGACAAGACTGGAGAAAGGCAGAGGAGATCTACCTATTATAGTTTAAAAAATGGTCCCATCAGAAGACTGTCATGAGTGCTCCACTGTGCAAATTTATGACATGAAGTGGGAGTGATCATGTCTTCTGTGAGAGCTGGTTAAGAACAGAAAAACTTTATTTAATGAGTAGTGATCATAGAAGTGCAATAGAATTTTTCTTTCCTCAAGGAAATTTGCTGTTCATTGGGGAATGCAGAGATCCTACATTAATGGCAATTGAAAGTTGATTCTTACTATTATTTTGGCTGCAAATTTCTTCCAATGTTTGTTTGAAATTTTTGTTCACTTCCAGATTTTAATTTTGGAACAAGCAAAGCGATCTTTTTATTTTTTTCTCCCAGAAAGGCATTTAAACCATTGAAAACATATTTTCTTCTGCTCAGAAAATTTCACAGTGAGGTTTGCCAACTTATCCTGTTATTGCCACCTACCCATAGAAACAGCTCTCAGGCCACAGATAGTCTCAATACTGTATGATTTAGTCATAACACATGAATATTTTAGTATCCTGCCTGTGGAAAAAAGTCTTAATTTTCAGGAAAAATGTGTTTGAGGCTTTCTGACAAGGCCTTGAAGAGCTTGGCCATGGAATATTCAGCTCCAACAGGGAAGCACATTTGGAGCACTGACTCTTTAAGGAGAAATTGAGGAATCTCTTTTTTATCTATGTATCTATTTACTTATTTATTTTATTTAAGCTTGGCAAGAGATGTTTTTGGGTGGCAATCTGCAACTGCCTGCCAGAGGAGATGGAGACAGGCTCTTTTTGGAGATGAATGGCAGTAAGAAGAAAAGCAAGTGATTGAAAGATGAACATGGGATGTTCAAACTTGACAAGAGGAAAAATGCTTTCACCGTAGGGACAATGGAGCTCTGCAGCACACTGATGAGAGGGGCGGTGCGATCTGTTGGACCAAGCCATCAACAAATGAGAAAGGGCCTTTTGCAATGGAAGTGTTACTTAATAGGTAGAAGATGAATTGCAATTCTGTATTAAGGAGTTTTCAGTCAGTTATACAAAAGAGAAGAGTATCAAACAGTAGTAATAAGAAGCCCACACAAATGTCAATAGTTCTGCAGCTGGGCATTGCCCTTCAGCAAAGTTTCACCAGGAAGAATATTAAATTAGAAGATCAACCGTAGGAAGCTTTATTGATAGTGGTGGTTCACAAATTAGAAGATAACTTTCATCTTCTGTGTGGAGTTGCAGTTCTAACTGTAGCACATTTTTAGCAAGTTGAAATGATGGGTTATACACGTTGTCTTTTGCACAGCAGCCCTTCCAGAACTAGTGGCAATTACAGGATGTCTTCTTCAAGCTCAGATTTCATACACGAGAAGCAAACATACTGATAAAACTTTTGAAGGCTGGCCTCTCTTCTCCAGCCAGAGCACTTGGCATCTTTAAACGTCTTCTTGTTTTTCTTAGTCTTCTCATGTGCCTTTGATTATCATTTATGGTGACTAGGGACATGGTTTATTGGCAATATTGTTGTAGGTTAACAGTTGGACTAGATAATCTTAGAGGTCTTTTCTAACCTTAATGACTCTACGGTATTATGGTTCTATGATCATTCTGGGGAGTGTCCTTGAAGTTCCTTCAATTACCCAAGCACAAGTTTGGGGAAACAACCAGCAGAAACTAGCTATTTCCACATTTTTAATTATTATTAATGGTATTTTTGTCTGCTATAAGGAATAATTTACCCTGCACAATGAGCTGCAGAACTGAAAAACCCCCTGTAAGATTTCAAAAAGACCTCCCGTTGTCAAGATATGGGCAGTAATAAACTGTCTTGTGCTTTTGTTCTATAACTGTGAGGGCAGGAGAGACTCAAGGGCCCCTTTACATAATGTCAATTGAAATCAGAAGTATTTCTCCACTTCAGAGGCACCTGGCATTTGAGGCTGATGGGGAGTAGCAGGGTCAAGTAGTGAAGGGTATAATATTAGACTCACTGAAATGTATAATTCTGCAGGTTAAACGATGGAGAATTGGCTTTCATGCTCTAGAGCACCTGCTGATTCTCAGGGGGCAAGGTAAGGATTCATAACCCACCTTTCTTTTTATTACAATTACAGGAGATAAAGCAGGATTTAGAGATCTGTCTTTTTACTCAGTGACTGCTCTAGATTTAATTGATTAATGACGAGATTGGAGATACTGGCTCTTCTGATTTCCATCATCTACCGTTAGTCATGCTTTTGCTGTGAGAGAGAACAGACTGCAGGAAATGGCCTCAGCTTGTGTGACTGTGACTGGATTCAATTTACTGCATGATGGATAAACAGAAGTAGATTATTTGCCAGGGCTGCCAAGGATGAATTTTGATAATTAAAGAAACAAAGTAATCTGGACTGAGGAGCCTAGTGTTTGGAGTGAAAGAGATGGAGTCCTTCTAGTTACCACTCAGAAATGCTGTTCCATAGGAGAAAATATGCAGGAAAGGGCAATGTGAAGATTAATTAGACAATTAGTGAGATTAAGGGAAAAAAAGACTGACAAATAAAGACAGCTGTATCAGATCCAGGGAATGGGAGATATAAACTGAGAACTGGTGAGAGACGAGATGAGTCTGATCCAGCAGATAAAGTGACAAAAATTTTTTTGCCCCAGGAATAGAAAAAGAAGGATGAGAAAGTGAGGACCAAGTCAGTGTCCCTGCACTAGAGCATCTAATGTGGGACTTCAGCAAAAAAAAGCCCTATACCTGCTGCCACTTCTGTACTGAGCTGGTTAGTGCTCAGGAATGCTCTTTTGTTTGTGTGCTCCCACACTGTCTTCATTGCATGCTCTCACTTGCTGTGCAAATCACCATTTAGGAAGGATTGTTGAGATACAGATTATTTGTGGTAACGGGTTTGCTTAAGATGGCACCTGATAGCATAATAACATCAGAATGTAATATACCTCTGTACCTGTAGTGGGAACAAAGGGTGAGTGAGCCAGGGAGGCGTTGGAACTGGAGAGGAATTGATCAGATAATACCAATTTAAGTGCTCAGAGGTCAGGGCCACAGAAATGAGGGTGGGGAGAGGAGAGTGGCTGCTGCTAACAGGAGCTGAGCTGTTAATAAATATGGTGCCATTGGGACTTTAAGGTCTTCTCAGAGGTTAGGCTATGAAAACCATATTACTGTGGTTTCTGTCTGATTCACTTCTAGATAGAACAGTATAAAACTCATTCTGCTTTTTTTTTAGAAGGTTTACTAAAAGATTTTCCATGGTGACATATAGAAAAGTGGTCCTGCTCTCGCTGCCTTTGCCAAATTCTGTCTCCTTTCATTCCAGCAGTCAACAGTTTGTAGATGAGTGAGCATTTGGAGAGAACTGATTCTCAGTCTTCCACTTTGTTATATGACATGTACTGGGGAACAAATTGAGCCAGAGCCACTCATATTGTCTCTGCATCTTCTCTGTTGTTTTTAAGGGCTTGGCCATAATTAGAGCTCGTGCTGACATGGAGTAGATGTGGCGAAGAAAGTGAATCGAGACTGAGTTTGGACTGAGATTATCTGAAATCTGTTCTCAGCTCAGCTGAGATTCTACTTGTCTCTGCTTGAAGGAAGAAGACCACATTATTTGTTTGTTTGGAGGAGAGGGAATGTATGGAACACCTTGTGAGCCATCAAGAGCTGCTGGTAAACCAAAGTGTGTTCTCTGTTCATCAAACTGGAAAGTCTTCGTGTTTCCTGTTGTTTTTCCTCTGGGCTTTATAAGTAACTTGTGGATGCAAAAAATGTTCAAGTGCTTTAGCTCTGTTCTCAGGATTGCATGGTGAGTTAGCTTCTAGAACATACAGCAGCCAAATGACGGTTCTTTTGGTCCATTGCCACATTTGTTGTGGTTTCAATGATTCTGAAGAAAGTCCTGCATATTAAAATCATAGAATCATAGAACCATAGAATGGTTTGGGTTAGAAAGGACCTTTAAGATCATGTACTTCCAACCCTCCTGCTAGACCAGGTTGCTCACAGTCCCATCCAGCCTGGCCTTGAATAATTCCAGAGAGAGGGCACCCACAACCTCACTGGACAATCTGTTTCAGTGTCTCACCACCCTCATAGTAAAGATTTTCTTCCTGATATCTAGTCTAAATCTACCCTCTTCCTTCTTAAAATCATTTTCCCTCATCCTGTCGCTACCTGCCATTATTAAAAGTTCCTCCCCACCTTTCCTGTAGGCCCCTTCATGTACTGGAAGGCAGCTATGAGGTCTCCTCTTCTCCATGCTGAAGAGCCCCAACTGACTCATCCTGTCTCCCTAGAAGAGGTGCTCCAGACCTCTGATCATCTTCATGCCCTTCTCTGGACTTGCTCCAACAACTCCATGTCCTTCTCGTGTTGGGGCCTCCAGAACTGGATGCAGCAATTCAGGGGGCTCTCACAAGAGCAGAGTAGAGGGGCAGAATCTCCTCCCTTGACCTGTTGGTCACACTTCACTTGATGCAACACAGCATACAGTTGGCCTTTTGGGCTGCAAGTGCACATTGCCAGCTCCTGTTGAATCTCTCATCGATCAATACCCCCAAATCCTTCTCAGGGCTGCTCTCAAGCCGTTCTCTGCCCAACTTGTATCTATTCTTCAGATTGCCCTGACCCAGGTGCAGGATCTTGCATTTGGCTGTGTTTAACTCATAGGGTTGGCATGGGCCCACCTCTCAAGCTTGTTCAGGTCCCTCAGGATGGCATCCTTTTCATCTAGCATGTCAACTACACCACACAGCTTGGTGCTGTCTGCAGACTTGCTGAGAGTGTACTCCATCCCGCTGCCTATATTGCCTACCAAAACGTTAAAAAAAAAAAAAAAAAAAAAGCAAAAATGCAGCTATGCAGATTATTTTCACCTAAAAAAGTGTAGTGATCTCTTTACCGGAGGGAGGAATTGCATAAATGGTGAAAACGATTTTCTGTGCTCCTTGTTGATTTAAAAAACTGAGCTAAGTTACCATCTGTTCCTGTCTAGGGCAGCAAATTTGGAAAAGCATGGAATTGTGCACAGTGTCTTCTCTCTTCAGGTGCTGGGGAAGGTACACCAGAGGATGACCCCGGAGTGCAACCAGGACCAAGTGCTAGTGACTAGGAAGAAAAGAAGTCTCAGCTGCTTCCTGCTTCTGCTCTCTGACCCATGAGCAAATCTAACCAAAAAGTGGGTAAAGATTCTGACACCAGGTGCCCAGATCAGCAGGACTCCCAGGAGCTTCCGTTTCTCCCAGTATTTGCTCCAGGGCATTGCACCTCTGCTCATTAACTGTGGGCAGAGCTGAAACACCCAGGAGAACGCTGAATCCATTGCAAGCCATGCAGAACACATTTGCTGTAGCAATCCTACTACTGCTGTTTCGTCAGGTCAATATGTAATTGCTTCTGTTGCTGGAGGGCTCCATCAACCCCTTCATTAAAATGCAAATTTCACATTAATTAAAAATGCTGGGAGCATTTGCACAATTTATGACCAAATCTTTGAGTTCAGCAACTCCCACACTGGGGAGTAGCAGTAAGAAATATTTGAAACTGCTGAAATAAATCCTTATCTCACAACACTGGGGATGTTTTAACTGATAAAGGAGGATCTTCTTGGACTTCTAAAATTAATTTGTTCTCCCTAGACTGGAAAACACACAAGGCAAAGGGGGCTCTATGAGAATTCTATTCTTATGGATATTCTTACAGCTTCCTATGGTATAGAAAATGTTACACATAGGAAGAAGGAAGAAGAAAAATCCTAATTTATGCTCTGATACAGTGAGGAAGTGACCTCGTTTCTGGTCAACCTTCCCTTCCCAGTCAGATGACAGTGTCCCCATATAGCTACCTTAAACTACTAACTAACTACTAACTGCTGCAGTCCCTTCATATCTGTTTGAACTGGAGTAGATTCTACCAGGTCCTACCTCATCTCCTTCGATAGGACAAGAGGGAATAGCTTTAAACTAAATGAGAGGAAATTTAGATTAGATGTTAAGAAGAAATTCTTTACTCTGAGGGTGGTGAGATGCTGGAAATGGGCTGCCCAGAGAATGTGAATGTCCCATCTCTGGAGGCATTCAAGGCCGTGTTGGGTGGGCCTGGGCAGCATCAGCTTGGGGGTGGCGACATGGCAGGCCCATGGCAGGGGATTAGAAACTACATGATCTTCAAGGTCCCCTCCAACCTAAGCCAGTCTATGCTTCTGTGATCAAGAATGGTGAAGTTTCTCTTTGATGTGATGGGAAACTGCTCCTCATTGGCATTGACCATGTCAGCTGATGAGTCCAAGACTAGAGGGATGTAGCTGCCTGATTCCTTTGCATCAAGCTGGGACATTCTCACCTGACTGATTCTTTGAGAGAGGAGCTAGAGGGGTGCTGAGAGGACCCAGGGGGTCTGCATCTCATGCTCTGGATGATACAGGTACAGCAGGACCCATGCTGTGCAGCTGGGAAGATTGTGATCCACCAATGGGTGAAACTCTCTGTGGGACCTCATGGCATGTGAAAACACCACTGGCATTTTGGTTACACATCCTTGTATGGCTTGAGCCCATTCATTTACCAGTGGTGAGGAACATATGTGATTTCCCTCAGGTTATGAGAGGCCTTTGCCATCTCACCATCCAATGCTCCATGGCTATGACTCTTCTGTCTACTGTAATTTGGCTATCCCAGCTTGAAATTCTAGTGCCTCCCCTTACCACCATGTCTTTCCCACAAGCCTTCAGCACTTTCCAGCTATCTGCGTCCTTCCACCTACAGGATTTAGACCTGATCTGTACCTCATCTATGCCCAAGCAAATCACAGAAAGCACCCCCCCCCAGCTGCAAAAATAAACCTGATGTGCCAAATGCCCTCCCCCTTGAAGGGAAATCTGTGGTGATTGCGGGCAGGGGCTCTGTGCGTGCCCAGATCTGGTGGTGTCTCTCCAGCACCTGTTTCTGGTACGCACATAAACCAGCATCAATTTTACTGAGGCAACAATATTTATGACTCATTATAACATTTACTGAAGTTAGCTCAGAACTCAGGGTGTTGTTAACAGCCCTGGAGAGGCTGTGTATTTGTGTGCATGTACACGTATGCATGAGCAAGAGGAAGGGAGGCAGGAACTCAGTATAAAGATACTGTTTATCCCACAGTGCTAACAAAACATGCTCTGCCTGAGATGGGCTGGGTTCCAGCAATAAAGCAGATGTCCCTTGTATAAAGAGCCTCCTCTCTTGTTTAGTGACAAATGTAACAGGTGAACAAACTGAAAACGTGGGAGGGTGGAGGGGAGGGATAATTATAGCTGCACGCCTTTGCCTGACCTCACCGTGGGCACATCAGTGACCTTTTGGCTGTGCCTTTCTGCTCAGTTTTGGGCACTGCCAGGTCTGCTGTGTTATTTAGGCAGAGCGGCCAAGTGCAGGCATTCATTTCTGCCAGGTATGGCCCTTTCTGCCTTCCCAGAGGTTATGCAGTGGGCACTGCTTTGCTGTCCTTCTAGCCACAGATAAATCATTAATGGGAACTCTGGGTCATCCGAGACAGCATTATTAGGATTGTTTCCACATTCTCAGCCTCGGTAGTTAAATGCACAACATAAAAGAAAGGAGGGATGATTTGTTTATCATTTGGTTAAACTATTCCAAGATTCTGGGGAAAAAAATCTCATCCCAATGGGTTCGTAGTTATAAATAGCAATGCTGCGTGCACACGGGTAAATGCTGCATTCCGGTGGGTAAGGAAAAAGGATCAAGAGATGGTTAGACTCATACAATTTATGGTAGCCCTTGGACGGATGTGTTGTGTGAGTACAGGCACGCACCATACCTGAGGTCATCCACCAAGGATTTATAACTTCCAGCACCTCTGTCCTGATAGCACCATGTGTTTATATGGCCCATAGGTTCATCATTGGGAACTGAAGGTTTGCCTCATCACTCCTGGAATTCCATAGGTGTTGTTCTGAAGGACACGAGCTGTAACCCACTCTCTGTTTTATATCCTGACTCTATTTTGGTTTAAAGTTAAATCTAAAATATATCTTTTTTTTTTTTTTTTTCTTAGTGAGGAATTCTGAAACTAGAGAAGGGGAGCAGGCAACAGCTGGCCACCTTATTTCATTTCTGTTGTTGTAAAACCTTGTCTCCTTATGTGGGGCTTTTACAACAGCGTGCATTTCCTTGGTACCATATGCACATCCCTCCATGCCTGAAAAGCTGCCAAGAAACACGGAGCATTCCCAGTCTGCAGCAGGAATAGCCCTGCTGAAAAGCTGTGAAAACATCAGCATTCAGAGCCTCCCTGCAGCCCGGTGCAGGGATGCGGTGGCATGGGACCAAACCTGTCGTGACAGAACCTGGCCACAGGAGAAGGACACCCATGGAAATTCCTTATCAAAAGCATGCTGCCAATAAAGGAAAACGAGCTGACGATTTTCCCAGGCACTTGTTCCCAGGGGCAGGTGGCAGGTGGGGATGCTGCCGGCACCATGACCATCCCTTGCTCCCTCTGCTGAGCCCTCAGAGCTGTTGGTAGCAGGAAATGTTATCTGCTATGGACACACCCTTGGGTAGCTGTGGTAACAAACACAATATTACGTGCTCCGTGAAGATGGGATTGTTGTGGTTAACCGATGTGTTACACAGGCCGTTAAGCAGCTCCTGCTCCCAGTGAGGGCTACATCCTATTCAGTATCGTTTTTGTTGCCCGTGGTCTAAGGCAATGCTTTCTTCTGACACAACCCAGGACTATGTAAGCTTGTCACTTCAGCACCCAGCTCAGTTATCCCATGGTCTGAGGGGCCATTTGAAGCAGTTTTCTTGCCAGTTCCCCCCAGACATTCTGCAGAAGGTGGGTTGTGCTGCTGGGGGAATAGAGATGCATACAGCACTCCAGTGCTTGTGTGTTGATCTTTCATCTGTCAGAGAGAACAGAGAGGCTTTTCTGTCACCCCTTAACTGCTGGAATGGAGGCTCATATAGCAATTATATTTCTGTTTTAGAAAACAACCCTGGGTGCATCCTGCCTTCTGTTGGACCCAGAGGCACTTGTGCTGCTTTCCATAGGGGTGTCATCTGCAACTAACACTGTTAAAGGTGAAGAAAAGCAGATAACAGACAGGAGCACTGACCTGGCAGCTTATCCTCTGCAAATCTGTTCTTAGATACATATGGACTCAATGTTCATTCTTTTGGGTCACTTCCAGCTCAGAGTATTCTATACAGCAGAAATGCTCTCAGTGCCTCTGAACTTGCAGCTAGGTGCACGTTCCTTTGTCTCTCTCTCTCTCTCTCATATATTTTATAAATCCTTTCAAACTTCACATTTTAAATTGCAAAATTTAAATGAATATTTTAAAATATTCAGGTTAAGTATTTAACATTGACATTGTTGAGGGTGATTTGCACTGCAATGGCTTGGAAATGGCCTCAAGTTGTGCCAGCAGAGGTTCAGGTTGGCTATCGGGAAGAACTTCTCTGAAAGAGCAGTGATGCAGTGACAAAAGCTACACTGGGAGGAATACCTGGGGGTATTCCAGAAACGTGGGCACTGAGGGGCATGGTTTTGTGGGCAGTATTGGTGATAGGTGGATATTTGGGCTAGATGATCTTAGAAGTCTTTTCCAACCTTAATGATTCTGTTGTGCTGTGCTGGTAGGACTGAGGGGTTCTTGCCCCTCTGTCCTGTCTGGCCGTAAGAGATTGGTAAGTGATAAGAGAGGGACAGCTCTGTGCACACACGGAAGGATGCAAAGGACGCACACAGAGGACTCAATTTTTTTTCTTTTCCTAATTCCATCTGACATTTAGCAATCGTAACTTTTCGTTTGAGTAATAAATGGGTTTGCCCTTTTCGCCAAAACTGCTGGACGTGTTATTCCCTTTATGGTGTGTGTTGCTGAATTCCAGATGTTGCTGTTTATCCAAGACAAAGTTCATCCAGGGAGGGGTCAAGAAAAAAAAAAAAAAAGATTTGATGAAAGAAAAAAAAAAGGAAAGATTGTGGGTGTAGGTATTATTGTTATGTGGTGCTTTGCACGAGCTGAATTATGCCAGTGCAGTGACTCAGTCTGGGAAAGTGAAAATGACTGCCAGTGCCTGCTTCCTCCATTAACCTTTTTAATGTGAACTTGTAAAATAATATGTGATCTGGGAGATGGGGAACGAGTGAGCATGTACTGAAATAGCTTCCACAGGAGATGTTAGGGTCTTTGTTTATGTGACAGAGAAAGAAATAACCCTTTGCTCATTTCAGCCCAGTCCTGGCTTAAGTGCAGCTCTCTACAGGCAAAGATGGAGCAGGCAGGGGAAGTATGTGATTAAAGATGCTGCTTATTTGGGTTATGCCCTAATTGCTTCTGCCTTGGACAAAGTTCCCAGTGTGTTTGGTGCTCTGTGAAGCCAAACTCAATCCACCTTAGAGCATTTATAAACCAAAACAAGACACCACAAGCATTGCTCAGAGAGGTGGAGAAGATGAAACATTCTTCACTTGCTGTCCTTGAGAATTACAAAAGCAACTCTTGCATTTTTCCTTGGTTTTCATCTTGGGAATACAGAAAGAAGCCAGTGGGACATCAGGGCCATACAGCCTTCCCCTGGGAGCAGCAGGCACAGGGAGAGGAGCAGAGCTGCCTTTAGTCCCTCAGTGTAATTAAACCCAGCCTGCAAATCCACCTGCAGTTTTGGCAGTTCTCTTCTAAAATGGAAATGAAAATAAGCAGAATATAAGAAAGAGAATTGTTTAATTTTGCAGGTAAGATGTACTTGCTACCTGGTGTGGCTGGCTGAGGGCTGCTGAGATACCTAGCAGCCTACCTAATACCACTGCATGGAAGTGCCTATTCAGGTGCTAATTCAGCCCTTCATCCCTCTCAGTTGGCTTGAAACCTGATGGGGTGGGTTCAAAATGTGGGTATGTGCTGTGTGTGTCCTTCTGGTCCATCCTGCACCAGCAGCTGTGATAGGGGATGGAGATGGGGAGGACCAAGGGACACTGTGTAGTGTTCTGTTATCCTTTGCCATCCCTCCTGTCATGGCACTCATTCAGTTCCATGCAGGAACCTCTGGGAAGGAAGATGGGCCAGTGCTGGTAGTGATTGCCTTGAAGTGATTGCCCTTGCAGAGCAGAAAGGCAAACCAGAGAATAAAGGATGAAATGCTGTTGCTCAGCTGCACTTTGTTAAGCACTTTTGCCTCTTCTCAGGAAGAGGTCTGATCTCTTTTTTCGTCCTCTGGGAGCATTTTCTCCTTGCTCAGAGAGAGCACTACTGGGTGGTGTCCTTATAAGCCACTCTCCAATTGTCCTTTTTGGCTGAGAGAATGATTGACAGCTCCCCAAGGCTTCTGTTCCCACTGGGTTTGGTACCTCCTTAATTAAAAACTAAATGTATAATTGATTTTTTTGTTTTTAAATTTTTAATTTGGTTTGGCTGCTTTTGAGAAGGGGGAAGGGCAATCAACCTCTCCTCTACTTACAAGAAGGAATATTTACCTGGACACAGCCTAATCTGACTTTTAAGCAAACACATTACTATTTGTTTTTCACCACATTGAATCCTGCTGTTAACATTCCTGGTGCAGAAATGTATAAATATTGACTTTAGGAGTCAGCAATGTGGTTGGTATATGGAGGTATATTCTGCATCACAGAATCACAGAATCACCAAGGTTGGAAAAGGCCTTCAAGATCATCCAGTCCAACCATCCACCTATCACCAATAGTACTCACTAGACCATGTCTCTCAACACAAAATCCAAACGTTCCTTGAACACCTCCAGGGTGACTCCACCACCTCTCTGGGCAGCCCAGCAGAGTGCATTTATCCATTCAGTTCAGCAGAATGCATTTATTCCAACAGAGATGTCATCTTTTTTTTTTTTTTTTTTTTTTTTTCATAGCTATACCAAATCTTGTTTCCAATTTGAAGTTACAATCAGGATAGAAAAGTCCTAATGAACGGGAAATTAATGGCACAGATCAAGCAATCAGCACTGACACCTGAAGGAGTGGAGGATATTGGGATCATCCCAGGGAGGAGGCAGAGGTTGTAGGCTGATTTGCTGTTCCCCCCTGCCTGAGCTACTTATCTCAAGTTTCTCACATCACAAGGTTATTCATATTTTC